TATCATCTCCAAATCATAACTGCTCTCCCTCCCTTTCCCAATATTTATACTAATTTATTATTTCTTGTGTCATTGTGTTGGCCAGAATGTCTAGAAGAAATGTCAGATGATGGCACTGATACGGGACTTCTTCCTTGTTCTAACTTAACAGGAGAGCTTCTAGGATTTCCTACAAGTTACCTAGAGATCAATTCTCTTTATTTCCATCCAAGGACTCATTCTATTGCTAATTTACTAAATTTCTTTCAGAACTGGTTTAACTTTCATTAAATGCTTCTTCATCGATATCAGTGATCTTTTCCTTTACTATGCTAATGTCGTAAAATTCATGAATAGGCTAATTTTGAACCTTCTTTGCATTCCTGGAACAAATCTACTAACGAAGTTTCATTACTGAAGCACATGTAGGATTTAATTTGTAACATCAAAATCCTTCTAGCTCTTCTGGTGGGACTTTGCTGCCAGGGTTTCCCTTCCCTCTTCAGCATTTATTCATCTTCCTCTTCACGGGCTTCTCTTTTCCCAGCTAAAAACAACCACAGCTTCCCAAGACCCCACCCTTCCACTTTCTTTGCTTCCTTCTCTCCCAGGCTCTTAAATGAATGTTCTGGGCCAGCAGCACCACTTGGCCACTCACTTTCTCCTGGACCCCATAATCTACCCCATTCCCTTCTGCATCCTCCCTGGCCTGGGGCATACTCATCTTGCTTCACTTTCTGGGTGGACCTCTGGGGCTCCTGTTCCCTTCCCTGACTCCTCCATCTTCTCCCAGGGCCATGAGTCGAATCCCCTTTCTGCTCCTCTTTCTCACGGCTTCTCCTACCACCAACAGGATCTCAGGTTGGTGACACCTGATGTGTCCAGGCTCTTGTTTCCTCTCCCCACCTGCCCACTAGACATGAGATTTCACTGTCATCCCAGATTCCACAGGTCTGAACTGAAGTTCCTTCTCTTTCTTCTTCAGCCTCCCACTTCCCACAGTTCCTCAAGGGAGAGAAGCCCCTTCTCTCCCAGTGCAAGTTGGGCTCAGAAGCCTTGGCGCTCCTCTTGGACATGTTGGTTTTCTTGGACATGCTTCTCATGCATAATCAATCTCATTCTCTCCTTCCAAGCTCTGATAGCCAGGTAATTGTGACCCCATTTGACAGATAAGGAAGCTGAGACTCCAGGAAAGGAAGCAATTTACCAGATTGGGCAGCTGTTAATTGCAGAGCCTAGGGAGAGGTGGGGATGCCCCCTGCACCCTGTCCTGAGCAGACCCCTCCCTCCAGGGTGTGTCCCAGCTCCCTGGATGTCTCACTGTCCTGCTTTTGCCTCTTGCCCCATTTTCTTACTCAGTTGGTGATGAAGTCAGATACCCAAACACTAAGCCACAGCCTCCCAATCTTGGCAGCATGTGAAAGAATTAGGCACCAAGTTCTGGAAATTGTGACTCCAAAGTCCCCCAGCCTCCTTCAACATAAGGATGTGGCTTTTTTTCTATGGCTTCCGAGTATCTAGAAAAACACCGCCAACACGGACGTGTAATCCTTAGGAGCGAGCAGTGCAGGGCAGGTGTGGAGGGTACAGGCTTTGGGGTCCGGCCAGCGACCTCAGGCAAGTCACTAGACCGCTCTGAGCTTCTGTTCCTCGTCTGGGAAGGTAACGACTTCCTTCGCCCTCTGGCTCCCTTAGCATCAAGTGAACTAGAGGCCGAAGAGCCAGCGCCGTGCCCAGGACGTGGTGGGGGTCAATGAACTGCGTCGATTACTATCAAAAGTTGATCCAGGAGGGGACCTGTGTGTGAATGTCGGGGCAGTCTCAGGGCGGAATGCAACGGGCGTGGCGGCGCCATCTGGCGGCCGTTTTCTGCCTTACTGCATTTCAGCCCACGCCGCGCGAAGGAGACCCCCCGAGGCCCTGCATCGAGCGGCGCCGGACTCCGGGGGCGGCCGAGAGTGGCTAAGCAGGGCTTGGGCTACACGGGTGTCACCTGGGGTGTTAAGACTCTCGTCTCCCCTTCCCACTTTCTCTGTAGACATAGATTTCATTGTCACCCCCAATTCAGCAGGCTTTAGCGGAGCTCATCCTCTTCCCGCTTTGCTCTGGCCGCTTTCTCATCTGCGACTCGTCTTCCACCGAGGAGGCATTATTTGTTGACTAACTGCGCGATAATTTCTTTCACTTTTAAAGGATTCTTTAAGTAGCAAGCCCCCCAGACCTTAATGCACATGTTAAAATCTAGTATGTGACGTGGTGGCATTTCAAATCACTAAAGAGGTATCATTCTATAAAGCGGCTGGACTGGTTAATCTAATTAACTATAAAAATATAAAATAATTTCATCCTCTTCCTTTCCCTTCATTAAATATTAATTATTGGCATCTTCCTTTCTTTGTCAAAAACCCCACAAGGTGGGTTCAAATGCGATAGCTGACCTGGGGTTGGGGATTACTGAATCAGGGAATGTGCCCCAAGTATGGGCGGGGGCCCATGCGTGAAGGCGTAGCATCCTTGAGGAGCTGGGAGAGTGGTTGTGCTGGTCGTGCCAGGGGACAAGGAGAAAGTAAGTAAATACATGGAGGGTAATGGGAGCCAGGTTTCTTACTGCTGGAAAGGGAGGTACAAATCTGGAAAGGGCAGAGGTGGAAATGAACCCTTTGATTTGGGGTTGGAATTGGAGATATTGGTCTGAAAAGTTGTGATTTTCAGTGTACATAAACGAAGAAATAAATAAAGATGTAAATCTGAGTGTATGTCCATGTGTTTCAGTGTGGGTACATGTACGTATTGATGTCCACTAGCTTTGTCACTGAAAAGGTCTGGGAACACGACACACTTTGCCAATGACCACACCCACCACCCAGGTCTTGTTTACCAAACACCGCACTCCACCAAAAGGAACTAGAGCTCCCCCGAGAAGTAAAGAAAAGGGAAAGTGCAAGATGAACCCAGGACATCCTTAGTGCCAGAGAATGAGGACTTGCACTACAAGTGGAAGGACATTTAGAGGGAAAAAAAAAACAGGAAAGCAAATTTGAAGGGGCTTCCAATAACCAAACCTGGGGCAACTGGACCATCAAAATAACTAAATATAGTCATAGATCATATCCAGTAAATAAAATAAGAACCTAAGAGTCCCTACCTATATAAATGAGTAAATAACAGTGACAGAAGGATTGGAAACATTAGAACATCACTGTTGGCAGCCACCATAATAAGAACTCATTCCAGCAGGGAACGTGAAGGTGAGCCAAACTGTATGAGTGAAAGGGGGTGAGTGAGCATAGAGTTTTATACAGTCCCAAAGTGTCTCCCCACAAAACATTTATTATGTACAAAAGGAAGAGAAGAAACTTTATACTGGAAAAATCTGGCATGTATTGTTTTCATCAAGTGGACTAAATTATTACCACCAGCTGTGGGGCACAGAAACATCAGGGTCACCCATTAGGTTGCAAGGAGAAGACAGGGCACATGAGAAAGACTGAGGGGTGGACTCAGGCGGAAAGGGACTGCAGGGGCAAGACAACTGGCTGCCATGTGTGACCCAGAAGTGGAACCTTAGCTCTAAATGATGCTACTGGGACAACTGGTGACACGTGAATAGAGTCTTCAGCTGGAGAACATGCAGGAATTCTTTGTCCTATTCTTGCAACTTTTCTGTAACTTGAAAGCTGTTTTACACTAAAATGGTAAAACAACTAGAGGATGGAGCCGCTGGCTCCGGTGAAGAAGAGAATCTTGCTTCCTGCCCTGAGACCATCAGACTGCCCTCCCGCCCACTCCTGTCAGAAACAAGGCGATCACTGGACAAAATGCTCACCTGACCTTGGGAAACAGGCAGTGCGGGAGAAGAGGGAACAAATGAGGTGAGTCCTTCCCTCTTCCAGGCTTTCTGCCTGCAGGTAAAATCCAGACTGAGACAAAAAAGGGAAACCCAAGCAGAGCCCAGTAATCTCACTGAGTTCAAGAGACAGAGATGGAAATTTGGGGAGGTCTAGACGCTTGAACTGGCAGGACAGAGAAGGCAGGAGGGAGAAGCAGATAAAGGGCTCTGGAAATCTGCAAAGGGTCCCCGAGTCTGGCTAAATACCAATGTGCACACATTGGCGGAAACTCCATGGAGCCAGACCAAAACTCCTTCCAGAGAAAGAACAATTACTGCAAAGCCATAAGTTGGACAATTCCCAAAACTCATAAGAATTAGGAATTGTTTGAGTTCCCACCAGCCAAAGAGAAGAGATTTCACTGAATGCGTAGGGTGTTCAGTAGAGAGCCCGGAAGTGCCACACCTTAAAAGTGGGTTAAATTTGCCATAGAGGAAGGTCTAGACCTATGTTGAAAGAGCTTAAAAACAAGTATTAAAAGATCAGAGTGGTTTGCAAGTAAATTAACTGCTTGTCATTAAAACTCCAACATTCTTTAAAGGAGCACAACAAAATCTAGCATCCCAAAACAAAAAATGTCACAATGTCTGGCATCCAGTAAAAAAAAATTATTTGACATAATAAGAAGTAAAAGGCTTGGGGGAGGGTACAGCTCAGTGGTAGAGCATGTGCTCAGCACGCACAAGGTCCTGGGCTCCATCCCCAGTGCCTCCACTAAGAAATAAAATTAAAAATTAATTTAAAAATGCATAAAGAAACCTAATTACTCCCCCTAAAAAAAGACCAAAACCAAAATTATATACATATGTAAAGAAGAAGTTATACGTTACCTTTAGCCAGTGGAAAAATCAGGTACTGTAAGCTGACCCAGAAATGACAAAGATGATAGAATTTTTCAAATTTCCATTCTAAAATGACCTCCAACTAATAGTCCTTGGTGAAACTTGGGAATGGGACCCTGCTTCTTACCCATCTTGGTGAACTGTTTCCACCTCACAGTGCACAGCAGTCAGCTTCCCCTGTCAGTGGACAAGTGGCTGCAGTGACCTTGGCACTGGCCTGCGTGGAGGCGCAGTCTTTACACACTAGGCCCTGCTGCTTGACATTTTGTTTAATTCCAAACTTCCATTTCAGGAGCAATGTCATCTTCCACGGGAAGCTCGCCCTAACTGCCCAGGTCAGGTCCCCATAATACATTCTCACTGCCCTGTTCTCTCATCCTGATTGTTTATCTCAGTTGGTGTGAATTTGTGTGAGTGTTTTATTAGTATCTGTCTGCCCCATTAATGCCCTGAACCCAAGAAATGAAGTTAAGTGTGTTCCTTGAATCTCCAGCCCAAAGCACAGTACCTGCATAGGGTGTCCTGATAAACATTTGCTGAATGAATGAGGCATACGTGAACAAATGCAATGGGCATAATGAGTTTTATTTGGTCTTCCAAGCAAATTCTGAGGGTCATTGACAAACCATTGGTATCCGGAGGAGGGCGCGCCAAACTTCTGATGATCCAGAACTCACCAAGCTCAGCCTTAGATATGCTTCAGGGAAGCCTACCAAGTGCAGGTAAATGTTCTGGCCCCTGTCTGGCTTCCTTTTGATGACTTATTCTCAACAGAGGCATTTCTCCGAAGGGTCAAGTTCTTCAGGTCATCATCTGTAACGCTGAGAGCATTGTCCTTACAAGTGAGACTGACCCAGACAGCAAACGGGAGGATTGTAGTAGACGCTGTTTAAAATCCCTTTCAATCTTGAAAGTCTATGATTTTTGACTTTAACCAGCTAATCTTTTTGTTTTTCTTTTTTAATTTTAGCTTTATTGAGGTATAATTGACATATAAAATTGTAAGACATTTGAAGTGTACATTGTGGTGATTTGATATACGTGTACCCTCCCCTCCTTCCCCTTCCCCCGTCCCCTTCCTTCCCTTCCTTTCTAGGTCTGCTCTCTTTGCAAATTTCAATTATTTAACCAGCCAACATTTGTCCTAGCTCGGTTGTAGGGACGCGGTAATTCCTCATTGCCGCCACTAGGTGGCACTTTCAGTTTTAAATTCCCTGCCTGGCTGGAGATTTGGAATCCTTTTCACTTTTAAACCCACACTCGAGTTTGTTTTGTAGAGGAGAGAACTGGTAACTAAAAGCTTGTAACATCCTGCAGCCTCCTGCAACCCTGGGATGCCGGTAGGGGTGCGGGATGGGGTTTGAGAAGTCCGCAATCGGACTCACGTGGAACGTTCGTGAGAGGGGTCTCCCTCCTCTCCACGCTCTCCCTCCTCCTCTGCTCCTGGCTCACCTGCTGTCTCACCTCCGAGGAGGGTCCGGGGTGTCCGGTGCTGAGACCCGCAGGGCTGGAGATGCCCTGAGCAAGTTCCGCACCTCCCTGACCCTCATCTTTAAAGTCAGGGTGCGCGGGGTGAGCCTCCTGGGTAGATCCCAAGCTGGGGACAGCCCAGAACATCTTATTTCTGAAACAGAGGTTCCCAGGCTCCACCTCCAGAGCTTGATTCTGATTAGGGCGAGGGCACTTTCCAGGTTACCGGGAAGATTAAGTAAGACAAAACCTAGCCAGCAGGACTTTCAGGAAATCGAGGCCTGTATGTAAAGCTCCTCATACCACGGGCAGCGTGTAGTAAGTGTAGTAAGTGTTGGTTGAATTGGAGCTTTTGTTATTTTTACCACTACTGGTCAGCAGCCCAGGTGCCTAGGACGGTGTCTGTACAGAGTTGAGGCCCAGTAAATATTGTCAAATGAATCAGCAACCTCCCAGTCAGACCCAGGGGGTGGAGGCCCCAGACCCCATCCGGGAGGGCAAGGGAACTAGTGTGACCACCTGCCCCACCAGGACCCACACCCCTGCCCACCGGGCCTCCAGGAGCCCCTTGATCCCAGGAGTCCCAGGAAGTTGGGGGTCGGGGGGTTCCATCCTGAGAAGACAGCATCCTTAGGCTGTCAGAGCCCTAAAGCCAGGTGGGGACACAGGCTGTGCACCCTGGCCCACAGTGGCATCTTGGAAGGAGGCTGTCTGCCCACCAAGTCACATGTATTACCTTTGTGGTAAGACCTTCCACAGCTAGAGGGCTTCAGTCACCCGGTGAATGATGAAATCACTGACAAGGGCCAGCCCCAGCAGAGGTCCGTGGCAGTTGGCTGGAACACAGTGGCAGAGAACTCAGGGTGACTGGTGGGCCATTTGTGGTCCCAGCTACCCATGGGCTGGTTGGAGCCACTTCTGAATCTCCCACCATTGGGCAGAGCAGTTCTGTCTGTTCTCCCAAACCTCAGAGATTCCAAGAATTAAATCTGAAGCTCCTGAGGCAAGAACTGTCCCAGCCTTGTGCTGCCAACAGGAAGGCTCTGCTGGCTTCAGGAGAAGGGGTAGGTAGTAGGCCCATAGCCCTTGGCAGTTCCTTCCCACCAGCCAGCCAGGAAACTCAGGGAGCCATCTGCCATGTGGTTCCCTGCGACCTCCAGCAGTCTGTCTGAGAAGTCTGGGGGCCATGCCATCCCAACGTGGTGTAGGCTTCCTCAGGCCAGCACCCGGGGGTCCAAAAGAGCAGACAGCAGAAGTCAGTGTCCAGCATAAAATCAGCATGCTTGGCCCTCTACCTGTCGGACTCATGGCCTGGCACAGAGGATGCCCTCAACTGTTGTTATTGAATGAGTGAATAAATGAATAAATGAATGAATGAAAAAGAACCTTTGTTTCTATTGTAGAGACGAGGTAGCTGAGGCCAGAAGGCCATTGTCCCAAGTTCACCCAAATTAGAAGCTGACTCAGCCCGCTAACACCCAGTCCTGGACATTCTCCCTACTCCAGAAGGAGAGGGGCTTTTCAAGGCGGGGGAGGGGAGGCCAGACCTGTAGGGCTGGGGTTGGAGGGTTGGGGTCAGGATCAGGCATGTGATCTTACATATGGGCCCCTCCCACGACCAGCTGTGTGCCTTTGGGTGGGCGCTTAACCTTCTCTGAACCTCAATAAAGTGAGCCAATACCACTAACCTCGGGGCAGCGCGGCCTTGAAGCAGAGCACTTCCAAACACCACTCATTCTTTGTTGCCGTTGTTGTTGTAATTATTCAAAACAAACAAATAAAAACCCTACGTAGTTTGGTAGTAGATACAAGTGATTGATTTTCTGATAGAGGAAGAAATTTGTTCTGTCTCAATCCCACCTTCTTTATATATATATATAAACTACACATAGTGTTAGATATGTAATTATGTGGTTATAAATAATATGATTACTTACATTTTTTCCTTAAAACCTTGGACTTACAATCATACATATTCACCCGAATAACCATGATCCCCCTTCTTCTTCTTAGTTATTAGGTTTATTTACTTATTATTTTATTATTATTTTTTGATGGAGGTATTGGAGATTGAACCCAGGACCTCTTGCATGCTAAGCAGGTGCTCTGCCACTGAGCTATACCCTTGCCCTGCCTTCTTCTTTAGTCTCTATTTTTAAATAGGTTCGGTTCTCACCACCAGACCTTCCTCTGTAGCTTTTCCTTGCTTGGCCTTGTTTATTTGAATTTATCTCTGGATGGTTGTGTCCAGCACGGACAGGTCTTGTTTTTTTCAAGAAGCCATGGAGCTGCATTTCCTGAGTGTCTGCACATTGCCTAATCTCTGTAAGGATGCTTTGATGGGTAACATGTTTTTAAAGTGTAGTCATCATTAATTGCCTTTTTTTAAAATAAACTTTTGTTGAGGCACAACGTTGTTCCAGCTATTTGCTGTGGTGACATGCACCACCTGGAAATGCATGGCAGTATTATTGTTCACAACAGCCAAAAGGTGGAAGCAACCTGAGTGTCCTCTGACAACTGGATGGATGGGTCAATAAAATGTTGTTTCTACGTACGGTAGAATATTATTCAGTCTTAATGGGGAAGGAGATCCTGGTATGTGCTACAACATGGCTGAACCTTGAGGACATGATGCTAAGTGAAATAAGCCAGTCACAAAAGGACAAACACTGTATGATCCCACTTAGATGAAATTTCTAGAATAGTCAAATTCATTGAGACAAAAAGTAGAATGCGGTTGTCAGGCGTGAGGGAGAAAGGGGACTTTAATGGGTGCAGAGTTTCCGTTTCTCAAGATGAAAATGTTCTGGAATCTGTTGCACAACTGTGTGAACATATTTA